CTTTCACAGTGGACGAAGCGGAGTCCAGCCCGGGGTCGTCACGTGGTTGCCGCACGCCCACCGGCCGCTCCTTCGTCGAATCTGCTGGCAAGCCCGCCGGCTGTTCCTCACTCAAGCCTGCGGTGTGTTTCGTTGTGAAAGCGAAACTACTTTCTTTGGCCTTCCAAAAGAGGATACAACTAGAAATCAGTGGTTAAGTTGTATTTACAACACTGTTCCAGAACAGTTCAACCCAAATATTCAGATGTGTGGAGCGCATTTTATGGAGGACTGTTTCCTGATCCCAGTAGAGTAGACTACAATGCGTCTGTGCACAAAGGCTGTTTCTATAAAGTGGGGCAATTCCAACTTTTTCTGGCTCTTCTGACACACACTGCATGTAAGGTTTTTTTTTTATATTTAAAGGATTTGCCACTGATGATTCAAACGCGAGTTTTGAGCAGTGTAGAGTAGCGCTTGTTGTTTGTCATTTCTCCGATCACAAATGCAGACATGGTTTTATGTTTACGCGGCGTGATACACAATGTGTAAAAAGACAGTATAAGTCATTATGATCAGTAATTATGTCCCCACTGGATGCAACAAATGCCTCGTTTGTAATGGGTTTTATTGGTGTTGTCCCATCGCGCCGGGACAAGGTATCACAATATGGTAAGGGACGTAACATTTTCGTCACACGCTTGAGGTATTCAACCAATCACAACGCACTGGATAGCTGGCCAATCAGCGTACACCTCGCTTTTCAGAACAATGAGCTTTGTAAAAATCAACGCGTTTCAGGAAGGCGATGCATAGAGGAGAAACAATAATGTACAGTATGTGGAAAATAATGTGGTTTTTTTTTTACCTTAAACCTCATAAACACATTTCATTACACCAAATACACAAAATAATGTTCTTTTTACCAACATCATATGACCCCTTTAACATGCATTTGCGAATGCAACGTGAGGCAGTTAATCTTTTTGTTTGTTTGTTTTTTTTTGCATAATTTCCCACATTTTTGTAGGCAGATGATTACAGCATTTCACACAGATTTGTATTGAGAAATGTTTGTAAACCTGTTGGGGGCAGGCACTTAAAGGTCTCGTTGCAGTTGAAAGCTTGTCGGTTTAATTCTTTCAAGTGAAGAAATTTTCATTCTCAGAAATTTTCATTTTTTTATATACTATTCCTTTTTTTTTTTTTTACAGTTCAGTTGGAATTGTAATATATTTATTGGAAATAAATAAATGATGATATAATAATAATGGTGTTATTACTGTTATACAGTCTTAGAGCTAGCATGCCTGAGGAATCTCAGATAGTTTTGGTTGATAAAAAAATACTTTTGACTAAATTTTATGCTGTTAATGTTGTCAATTTCTCCCCATGATATCGAAAATAGTATTGAACATTTAAACTTTTTTTTAAAGGTGTTGTGACAACACTAGTGTCCAGTCAACAGATTTACTTTTTCATTTATTTCAGTTCTTTCAAAAAGTCTTATTTGTCAGCTAAATTAAAGTATAAGAACTGGCAAAAATAATAAGTAACATTTATGTATTATTACATGTGTTGTATTGAATATCAGTAAGGCTGTGGTTCGGCCATTTTTGATTAAGCATTAGGACAATTTTTTAAAGACATTTTCTTTTTTTCTCCTGCAAACCGTTAAGAAATTTGTCTAAAAAACCAGCCTGAAACCGCATGTTTCAATTTTTTTTCTATGCATAATGCATAATTTTTATTTAGTTTAAGATCACAATCTGATCTGATAATGCCATGTGGTGTTGGATAAGCAGTAACTTATTCATGATCCTGAACAGGTGTGGAGATGATATACAGGTATAGGATAGACCGGTATAAAATAGGTCAGCATTCCCATAATGCCCCTCTCTCTTCAGTGTGTCCAGTGGGTGGATGATGCCAAACTCAACCAGTTACGGCGAGAAGGCATCCGCTACGTTCGCATGCAGCTCTGTGACGACGACATCTACTTCATTCCTCGTAACGTGATCCACCAGTTCAAAACCGTCTCAGCCGTGTGCAGCCTCGCGTGGCACATCCGTCTAAAGCAGTACTACTCCGAGGAGGAGAAATCAAAGGATGTTAAGACCAAGGACCTGTGCTCCACCTCATGTCCTCCCCACTCTTCATCCCCTGTTCACCCGGACACCAAAGTCACCTCTTGCGCCCAGCTACAAACGAACACGGCACAAGGTGGAGTGGCCAAAATGGACGAACTGGTTTTCCAGAGGCCCGCAACGCCACCCAGAGAGCAGCAGCCCGCGCCTCCACAGCCGGCTAAATCCGCCCACACTGTTTCTGCCACTCCCTGTACGGAGACAGGTCCTGTCCCAGCACCCTGCCCTCTGTACTCGCCCATACCAGAGCAAATGCTTCCACAGACTCCCGCCGAGCCTGTATCAGACTCCTCACTCGACGGCAGCAGGTCCACAGATTTCCCCAAATGACTTCAGACTTGACTGACATTCCACAGTGTAAAAAAGGTATATCTGGACTTTGCCTAAAAATGATGAAGACTGTTTATTTTTATTTTTTAGCTTTTGGTTAAGAAAATGACCCCATAAGTACTTTTTAGGTTTTTCTCAGCCAAAATATTTAATTTGAAGTATATATTTGCTGATTATTACTCAGTATTTGTTTATATATTATTATAAATGAGATGAACTTATATCTCAAGAGGGACTTTTCACGTTTTCATCATGTGCATCATGTTGATTTGCTAATTGGTTTTTACAGACAAATACAAGGGGGAAAAAGTGCCTGTCACAAGTGGAGAGCAGCAATCATATCTTAAAAGAGAAAAAAAAATGTCCCCATGGTGTAATGTCACTGAAGTATATGACGTATTTAAGATAGACTAGCGAGTAGGTATCAGTTTAAAGTGAGACATTTGCTTTTTCATAGATCATTCTCTGGTTTGCTTGAAGGAAAATTCATTATTTTTTGAATGACTAATAGCAGTAATCATCAAAGAGGAACCTGTGCATTACCTCTCATGTATGCAGGAAATAGGATTCGGAATCCACAAGAGGATTGTTCATTTGTTTGTTAATTTTAATTATTTATTTTTGTCCAGAATAGTCAGTCTTTTAAGATCATGGTCATGAATTAATTCGTCATGTTTGTTTTCTGTCTGTGTTGTATGCAGAAGCCGTTGTGCTTTTTTATGTTTTTAGTTTGGACTAGGAAGACATATTCCATCTAAGTCCGGACATTAGCAGAAAACTGGATGGAAATGGAAATAACCAAACCTACACTCAGGAGCAACATACTGATGCCTTTTCATTTTGTAAAGTCTTTTACTCCTTCTACTTTACTTTAAAGTTTTATAGCAGTCTAATCCATACTTTCAGATTATTGGGTTTTGATTGAACCTATAATTCTGACATGTGTTTGTATGAGCTTCATGTAAAGGAAACCGTCTCTTGATTCAAATGTATCATCTAAACAAGGTTCTCTTCATAATTTTTACACAATTCTGCTCATACTATCAGGGTAGTTTTAGTCACAACGGAAAGCTCTTTTTAAATCATACTTTAATTTTGTTCATTATGCTCTAAACTTCTGTTTTTGTCTGTCATGGACATTGTCACCACTTTTTTTTTTTAAATGTCCCAAATGACTAAAATCTTGTTGCTTTGGCCATTTTAAGCATTTGTTGATTTAGATTTTTTTTCCCCCTGAAAATCAGTCAGTGCAAAAATTTATTAACGTAATATACATGAATAAACTGCATGTTTCTTGTACAAGAAAACTGTTATGTTGCTCTTCCCATAATTTGCTACCCAAGTCAAACCCAATTTTTTTTTTCTCTTTCAAGAAAGCATCTGATATTATTTTATGAAAGTAGTAGCAGAAGGCGTATGTCCAGTGCTCTTGCATAACACTTGTTTCCTATGTGTTTGAACTAAAGTTGTCTATAGTCTTTATGATAAGCATTCTGGGGTGACTGTGCTCTCCCAGATAGTTGGATGAGTGCAATTTAGCTTTCACTTGCTGAGTGTAGTTGCGTGTCAGTAATGTTTTTGCACATGTCGATGTGTTTCTTTTGAATGGGATTAAGTCTTAAAGCAGGCATTCAGTGTTTTTGAAAGGGTTATGGGCAGTAGTTGTGCTTCTCTTTTGACGCCAAGTATTGCTAATGACTGCTTTGAATGTAATTTCACACCAGCAATCAGTCTACATTGATTATGGTTTCAACAAAATTATCTAATGGCTTTCCCTAATCAAATTCATCCTTCTATAAATGAGTGCCTTTTATTAAGTCTTTAATTGTCTGCTATTAAGCTAATTGATGTTATTCAAGTTGTACAAAGCATTAATTGTGATGGAATTTCGTAACGTCTGGCAATAATTAATGATTGGGTATTTATTATCGTAAAAAATCATGCTTACTCTGGGATACAAATTCTGCTAATCCAAAAGCAACTGAAGGTGATCATTTTATTGCCCATCAAAGGTAGCGAATGCAAACAAAATAAAAGAAAAATTGGTAGTAAATGACTTCTAGTGAATTGAAAACCATGTGCAATATGGATCAAATCTTATATTTCCCACAGTTTTTTTTTTAATTACGATTATATAGGCAGGTGTGAAAGCCTGTTTTCGCCACTATTCAGTGGCATTTCCTCAGTTACAGATTCTGCAGATTAGTGGTTTTGCTTAATGAAAGAAAAGATCCTTTCACCCAAATACATTTCTTTTAAGATGCCTTTATTGGTGTCTTTAACACCAATCCATTAAGATGAATCTTCCTATATACGGTTTCAGATGTTTTCCGCTCAGCAACACACAATGCTTTTATATCTTAAGGTTACATGTTATATTAAAATAAACATGATGTTTAGCGTTCTATGTTTCTTCTGAATTTTGGCAGCTAGTTTCTTTTTTTTGTGTTGATCAGGTTTTGATGGTCGTTTGTAATATAGGAAAAATACTTAAACTTTAGGGATCAAGGCATGCTCTGTGTTTGATTCATTATTTTCTCTGTTTGATATTTGTATAAAGGTTTTCAATTTCATTGATTTTTTAAGGACTAATTAGATGGTCAATTATGAACATAGTCAAAGTAATGTTTTGTAAATGCTAAGTTACATTTAATAGAACTGTGGTGGATCTTTTCAATTGTGTAAAAATGCAATGGAATGCATAGACATTTTTCTGTATTTTTTTAAATAAACCATTTTATGAGTGTACTAAGGTGAAGCGTTTCTTAAAGGGGATCATTCACTGCATCAGAAATTGAAAATATGCAAATGAGAAATTTTTTTTTTAAATACTGTCACAAACCATAAACTTTACAATAAATATTCACAATCTTCTGTCATTTTCGTCCCTTTCAGACAGACATGGCACCAAATGCACTGTTACTAAGTCCAACATTGTGTGACATAGAAAGGCTTGATTGGCCATGGTTATCTGCGTCTGTATATATTATAAAATCCATAAAAATCTTACCTATGAGATTACAAACGTGTCTACTTTTCAGAACATTCATGCATTTTATTATCTTTAGTTGCACATTTGTAATAATTGTATATACATTTTAGTTGCATAAAAATGCAACATGCTTCAATATTTAATTTCTAAAAAGGCCATTCTCCTGCATTATACCTTCATAAGATGTAAAAGCCATTAACAAAAGCACAGTCTTTATAAATGTCCGTCTATTGTGTGAGGTCCGTAGTTGGGCTTCTTTCCCTCAAAAACCACAGTGCTTGTCTGTCAGCTGAAAGCAAACTTTGCTCAGTTAATCCTCTTTTGAACTGTTTTGTGAAGCTGTTTTCCTTTTCTTCACCTTCAACATGAACTAGACCCATGTTCCTGGCTTATTTCGTGGGCCTTTCGGCTTTCCAAAACGAGATCCAAAAGCTGTGGAGTAAGAAAAGGGTCATTTTTACTACAGGCCAAGTGCTACCAGGCATCAACCAAAACTGAAGAAATGTAAAATAGAGTAGCTCTATCTTGTGGCAGCTTTTAAAGTCTCAGAACATTAGTTTGAAATCATATTTGGTCATTTAAAAATATATTAAAAGGGAGTGATCTCTTACAAAATAGGAATCCAACAGCAGCACCATAGGATGGTGGAGCAGACTGAGGCGGGGCAGAAGGTGGGCCTGGGGGCGGGATCGGAGGCGGGGCCATTTTTGCTGCAAATGACAGTTGCATGATTTTCAAGCCACACACAGCTGTTTAATTCAATTTAACAGAATTAGTTATATTAACATGAAAAGTAGAAGTGGTTATTATACATACACCTCTGTTTTCCTTTCAAAAACTTAATACTCTGTAAGAAAAGAAAATATGTATTGACATTTATAGAATTCGCTTGTATCCAAATCAGGAACTGATTCACATGAGAGGCCATTCGCATAGATGTGATTTTACACTGAAAAATGTGAGAGGCATGGTAGTGGAATGAAAAAAAAATAATGAAAGGTCTAGAGATGCATTAAAAAAAAAAGTTTAACTACTTTTAACTTGAGCGCAACGTTTTGCGGGAGATGCTGCAAAAGACGCAAGCACAACAATCAAACAAGTACATTAAGTGAGTTGTAGTGCAGTGGAACAGAAAGTATGCAGGGTCTCAGGCACGTTTTTTAAAGTTGTTGGCCTACGTCTTTTAATTTGACATGGAATCTTAAATGCTTATGCACAAGGCGCTGAAAAGGCAGCGAGACATGGGACAACCGTCCAAAACATCTGTCTAGCATTTTGGGGCCATTCACACAGAATGTGTTTTTTGCATTGAGAAACAAGTCTCAAGACCTTTTTTAACTTCAGCTCCACGTTTTTAGATGCATGCATGAGACTCTGCAAAAGGAAAGATATGAGCGCAACGGTCAAACACATTTAGCACACAACCATCTAGCGCATGTCTGCATAGTAAGGGTGGTTGAATGCAAAAATGTGTTCTGTGTGAACTGCCCCTAATCAGTTAGGGCAGGGCTGTCCAAACTCGGTCCTGGAGGGCCGGTGTCCTGCAGAGTTTAGCTCCAACTTGCCTCAACGAAGTTTCTATGCCTAGTAAGCGCTTGATTAGCTGGTTCAGGTGTTTTTAATTAGGGTTGGAGCTAAACTCTGCAGGACACCGGCCCTCCAGGACCGAGTTTGGACAGCCCTGAGTTAGGGTGTTTGGAAATGCAAAATACGGTACACATTTATAAAAGGTGAACTTCTTTTTCTTGACATGGCGTTTTAAACAAAACAATGGAAAAGCTGTGCAATGGAATACAAAAACACACTCTGTGTGAACGGCCCCTTTAAAGTGCATTCAAGGCAGGCTATTTTCAGTATGTGGGTTCAGTGGGAAACAGGCAATACAAAATAAATTTGCCTTTTTAAACATTTTACATGTTTATTATGCCATGAACTTTACATGTAACAAATACAGAGACTTTAGAAGTTGAACCTTGGTCCTGGCCTTGCTGACCAGTGAAGTTTTCTCTCTCCCTCTGTCCGACTGGTTCCCTGTTGGTCCTGTTGCTGCCGGCTGGCTGCTGGGTGCCGTCTGGTGCTCTACTGTATTAGCCACAGGGCAAGCTAAACTAAGGTTATGTAGTAATGGTTAATCACCGTTAAGGGACTTATGCTGTCACTTACCTTGGCCTCCAGCTGCTATGGTTACAGAGACAGGCAGAGTCAGCGGAGCCACAGATAGAGACTCTGTAAAATTAAACACAGCTGTGCATACATAGATCCAATAATAGTGTGCCCTCTTTATCTCTGTCGCACAGTGACAAACACTACACTGCAGTGCACTCGAGAGGGCAAATTTGCTTGTACATGTTATGTTGTAATGACACTAGTGACTGAGGTGTGGGAGGACACAATGGAAACACCAACCTACCTTGTTTTGAACTTTTTGCTCTGACGCTCTGTTAGAAAATGACACATTTTGGCAAGAATGAGTCAAGCATTGATCATACAATGGGAAAATTATAGCACAGCATTTCTGTACATCTTAAATTAAATTAGAGGTTTGTTATGTCTATATGCTTTGAGGTCAACTATATGCTATAGAGTACTCCTAAACGTTGACAGAATTCACTTTTAGTATATAGTGAGTATAAAGTATGTAGTAAGAGTATAAAGGTAAATGCAATGTAACCTTGCTTCGGGCCCAAGAATGATCCAGGAATGATCTGGGCTGGGAGCTGCCTGACCATTCAGATGATGTGCCCACTCTCAGTCTCTGATGCTCTGCCTCAGCTGGCTGACAGAGGGCGCTGTTCTCGGCCACTTTAAGAGTAAAAAAATGCAGCTTTGTGAACAAATGAAGATGAAGTTTTTATGTATACTGTAGGTTCTGTATACTGCACCTTTCGCCGTCTGAAAAAGGAACGATTCTGGAGTTCTATCAGGAAGTGGTGGAGTTACACTTTCTTTATGAAACAAAACCGCAAAACGTAGTGTGAGTTTGTGTACATTTAAATCAGCGAAAAGATGTTGTATGTTGGAGTAAACGGAACAATTACACTGGTGTATGTGTGATATACAGTACCTGTCCCTGGAACTGAGTTGAATGTCTGCTCATGTGGTGTTGGGGTGTGTAGTAGAGATTCTAACGATTAAAATAGGAAGGAATAACCTATATTAAAACAATCAACCAGAATGACACTGACAGAACTTCCTTAAATACATTCATAGTTGTTTTAGAACAAGTCTATACTATGGGAAGGAAGTTGCAAACATGTATCCTCAGTGTTGCCATGCAATTGTAGCCTACTTTAAAATGTCCTAAGAATCAGTTATAGATTATGTGGATAGATTTATTGTTTTAAAGGTTTCTGTCAATCAGCTTAACTTGATAACCAAAAATTTAGACCTGAGACTAGAATCAAAATGTACAATTCACAGCCAAAATTATTCTGCAGCGATTTGTACAGTAGGACAATCTGGCCATAGCTGTATCCCTTCTAGAATCGTAAAAGTGAAGACTAATCCACACGGGGAAACAATTGGTGGGGATTTTGATTCATTCACTAAAAAGATTTGTTGGGATTCATTTACTGATTAATTTGTTGATTCTTTCTGTAAATTACTTCATTAGCAGTAGGTGGCGACCAGTGAGTGTGTTTTTAAGTCAGTCACTGAGTCGTCCAAAAAAAGATTTGCTCAGAAGTTTAAAACACCAATGCTTCTGTTAATACTGGCCAATAATTGAATAGCACAATGCCTGTCTTTGAAACAAGAGGTAAGTAAGTGAACACATGAACAGTCATTAATCTTGAAATATGTGACGACTAAGTTTATTCATTTTGAGCGACTATAACAAAGGTTTTCACCTCAGCTAGCATTCAGCTCAGATAACAATGTTTAATTTTGGTTTGTTTATTAATGTCGTATATAGGCTAAGGTTTTGTCACCTTTCTTTCACAGGTGAATCGACTTCCAAAATTCTAGATTTGTATGGTATTTTGTTTGCATTGTTGTACTGTCAGTTTTTTGTACTCATTGCTGAAGGTAGACGCATTTTAAAATTGCCTTAAATATATAGCATGTTTTCACTTGTTTAATGGTGACGTCACCTAGCTTTAACACCAGTGTATACCTGTGAAATTCTACAGAGTATATTCAAAGTTAAATTTGTTCTATGCACTATTCCTGTTAAACTGTAATTTAGTCTTACCCTGAGGTTGTTTGTACAATAGGGGATGAGGACTGTGACTTGTGATTGGAAAAAGACTGAGTGGAGCAGATGATGCTGCAGCAAAAAAAAAAAAGGAGTTGTCAAGATTGTAGCCAGAATTATATATCTTATCTATGACTTTGAAATACTGAAAAAGTGGAGATCAGAATTAGAGAACAGTCTATAAATACTTCTTCTTTTTTTTCGGAAATATTGTTAATCTTTATCGCTCAAAGTTTGAAGGAATATTAGCTGTAAGTATACCAGTGTTATACTAACATGTTTAACCAAGGTATTTCAACAAAAACCTTTATTTTGTGGAAAACACAGTGATCAAAATTAGAGACCAGTAACCACTGTAGCATGAAAGAAGTGTTACAGCTGTCAGAAATTAGTAGGAAGTGTAGAGGCCACTGCTTCGAATGACTCCAGCAATGAATCTCAGAATCTGCGGCTGTAGGACATCACTAGTTTCTCACACTGCACTGGTGTGATCTTGGTCCACTCTTCTTCCAGTCTCTTCCATGGTTTGGTAACTGTAGTGGGTTTCTTAGCCGTAACTTTGTTGCCAAAGATTTTCCAGAGATTTTCAGTTGGGTTTAGATCAGGACTCTGGGCCGGCCATTTCATTATTTCAATGTTTTCAGCTTCAAGGAACAACAGTTTTATCCGTTTTGTATTGTGATGGGGGCATTGTCTTGCATGAAAATTGCAGGCTGATTGGGAGATGCATGCAGGGAAGGAGCTGCATGTTGCTGAAGGAGGTTCTGGATACACATTTGCATTCACCCTGCCATGTGTCTGTATAAGAGGCCCAACTCCTGCTGCAGAAAATATCCCCCAAACTATGACACTTCCTCCTCCACCTTTCACTTCTTTATGTGCTCGGGGTTCAGTCTTTCCCCAGTTTGATGCCGAACATAATGTTTCCCATGATCAGACACAAATAAATTAAACTTGCTCTCATAACTAAAGTGAACTTTGGACTAGTTCTTCTCTCTCCACACAACATTCTCGTAAGCAAAGGTGAGCTCAGTCTTTTGATTATTTTTGCTGATGAGAGGCTTGGTCACTGTAGAGGGCGCTTTCAGTCCGACATCTCTTAAAGGGGTCCTAATATGCTTTTTCACTTTTTGAATTTTAGTCAGTGTGTAGTGTGTATGTTTTGGCATAAAAAAGATCTACAAAGTTACAAATCTCAAATTTGACTCCAAAGGGAGATATTTTGTTTTAAAAAAAAAACGAACGGCTCGTTTGGAATACAGCGATGTTTTCCGGGTTTTGTGATGTCACAAAGTGGGCCATTAGAATATCATTAAAATAATTCCCAACGAAATTCGAAAGGTTGGGGGGTGGGGAGCGGCGAGGTCGTGGTTAGAGCTTGGTTGAGTGCATCAGACAAGTGCTGCTGTAGCGTCAAGTTTTCGCAAGTTATTACACATGCACCTGAAAAATTATGTTTGTAAATATGTATGTTACAATTTAGGGATGTTCATTTCGGTTATTTTTCCTAAGTTTTTATTTTTCCAGGCCTCATGTAGAGAATCTATGTGTTTTTGTAAGAACAATATCCTTATTAAAAACGTAATAATCACTTTAATGTAGCTTGCACCAACAGTTGTACAAGGAAGCAGCTCCGGGCGGATGACCATATGAAACATGGAAAAAAAAAAATGTAGTAAAAAAAATATGTAGTAAAATCTGTGCCGTTAAGTGTTATCACCGCACCACCGTGATGTTATGCAAAATATTTTGTTTTACATGGATATTGGATATTGGAACACGAGTGAAGTACATAATAAATAATAATTTGCCATTCAAATACATCGCGAATACAGAAACATTTGATTTTGTGTGGAATGAGAGACCCAACGTTGGTTTCAGTTTCGTTTTAGCCTAAATTAATTAGTTTTGGTTTGTCATTTATATTATCTTGTTCTTTTCTAAATACTGTTAATTGAAAGGATTTGTTTTGGAGTGAGAGGAACTAAAATAGTCTAGCTATGTTTACAGTGTTATAATGTTTGTAAACATTTCGCGTCGGCATTAGAAACAATAAAATGTGACTTATACGCGACTTGTTTTTTCTCCCTAAAAAAAAATGTTTTTTTATAAGCGTAGCGTATTTTAACCATGCAGCAAACCTTTTAAAATATTTTGATAAATTACTGAAAAAAATTATAATTAAATGACTTTTTAAACCGTTTAAAGGTGGGGTATGTATTTTTTCAAAAACGCTTTAGAAAACTGAGTTGGGCCGAGTACCAAAACAAACTTGTTGTCAATCAGCAGTAAGGGGCGTGTCTACTCATGATGTGGAGGAGAAAACGCTCAGTGCACAGGACGGACATTAGCGACAGAAAGATAGAGATAGCGGATAAAAATAAAAAAAAGAGCAAAATGTCTGCGGAACAAAAGAAGGCTTACCATAAGGCAAGAAGTAGGACCCGTGTAAATATCGGATCAGCTTTCCAGCGCTGGAGAGAACTCAAGGAGCGGGAAGGCCTGAGATCGGACGCCGACGTTGCTTTGTTTCTTCTCGATAGGTGAGTAACACCATGTCTACACCGGACGCAACAATTGTCTCGCCATTCCGCAACAGCTAAAGTCTGTCTACACTGGATGCGATAAAGCGACCATTGAAAATCATTTGAAATTTGTGTCAATACATCATAAATAGAATGCAGCAGCAGTTTTCTGTCTGGGATTTGTCGTGTGCCGCCGCACCGCATCCAGTGAAGACAGTATCACTGATTATCATGAGTTCTATAGTATTTTGTTGCACCGCTCACGTCCGGTGTAGACACGGTGTAACATTTTTTTTGTTACACGGTTTTGACACTGTTTTGCTTTGTTTCACAGAACTAATCATTGCCTGGGTTGCGTACGTATGTGTGGGGCGGAGCTATCAAAATAGGGGCGAGACCCTTTTGGGGTAGGGGTGTGTTTGTTTTGGTGATTTGAAATATTAACATTGGCTACCAGAAATCACTTACCCCACCTTTAACTGATTGTATTAATCGGTCAAAATTCTTACGGTCGGTTAACCGGTTAAAATGAACATCCCTATTACAGTTATGAAAACGTTTTTGTAAATTGCTGACAGTACAATACTGGAGAATGATGTAATCTGCAGAATTTACACTTCAGTTATGAGACTACAGTGTTTCCCATACATTGACTTATTTACATTGACACAAATAGATTTTTCAAAAGGCTTTGACTTTGTTGAATAAACATGAGCACTGCACTTTTCAAAATCAAAACCCGGTGCGGGTGTTTTTATATAACTGTATTTCTGAAGGAAACCGACTGTCTTCAGAAAATTTTGGATGTCATTTTCATTTCATCTTGCATGTAATGTCTGATAAAGCAGCGTTTGTGAGCGGAGCGCTGCTTTGTGTACAGCCGTTACCGAGGAAACCTCGATCTCTATCACTCCAACAGCGCCTCCTGCTGGCAGAAAATGAATTTGCATATATATGCCGCCACAAATAGAGAGTGCAAGTCTGTGGGAGACACTGGACTATGGCATAAGTAAATTCAACTGTAGTAATAGTAATTGCAGTTATTTTTAAGTGGTTGTTGACATCCTATCTAAAACGTGATTTAGCCAAAAGAAAAAAACAACAACAATAACGTTACCACTCTTATATGTCTTGCAATATCCGTGCGTGCAAAGATTCTGCGCGATCCTCTTGTTCAATATTTTCAGGGTCTGAATCCGGCTCTAATTGATATGGCAATATTGATGCCATCCTTAACTATACCGAAGCAGACAGAACTTGCTGCTTTGGCAAGGAGCGGGGCAGTACTGAAACACCGTCTAAGCTGTTCGCCAATCACAACGCACTGGGACAGCTAACCAATCACAACACATTTCTTTTTTCGGAAGGCGGGCCTTCATCAAACCCGGAACTAATCGAGCCATTTGTGCCAGGCTGGGGAGAAAGGTATTATAATAATGTAAATTATGTGAAAAATAATGCGTTTTTCGAACCACCAAGCATGAGAGCATGTTCTAGTACACCCCCAAAACAAAATCAAGACTTTGTAAAAGAGCATAATAGGACCCCTTTAAACGTGCCGAGACAGATCCATACCCTGTTCATCGCTAAACTGGCGAGCAATTCCAGCTGAAGCGTCGAACCGATTCCCCATTGAGTGTCTCCGAATTATCCTGTCTTCTTGTGCATTTGTCTTGCGTGGACGACCAGCCTTTTTGGGGGACTTGAATGAATTAGTGTCATTGTACAGATGCAATATTCTAGAAATCACAGATTTGGAACGACCAGCCTCTCGTGCAGTGGCTGAAAGGGTCATCCCTTTGGCCCTCATCTGGACTGCCTCCTGTTAAAGGGTTTCAGTCACCTTAGAGCGGCCTGCCATCTTGTAATCTCTTGGAATACTAACCCATCTTGGAATACTGCCAGTTAAATCGGATTTGTCATTATAATTAAGGAAATTAGCACCAGGTGCCAGATAAACACCAATAACTTGTAGGAATCTTTAAGTGTTCTCTAATTTTGATCAGAGTTCTTTTTCAAATATCTCTTTTAGGTTTTTAATACTGTGCTTCTGAATACAATTAAAGAAATATGCATAAAAAACTGCCCTCCTACTCCTGTTAGAATAACAAATAAGAATAAGCAGTGACCTTGAAATTGAGAAAATTGCAGGTTGTTCTCTAATTTTGATCTTCACTGTATATATTACTGACTTACCAGGAAGTGACATTCTAAATTTTAAGCTCTGAAATAAAGAAAATAATTTTATTTACGATTATATTGTTAAGGTTGGTGTGTTCTATTAATAGGCTGAAATGATTCATTAGTCTATACACCCTGCTTCCTCTCACCTTGCTCCTGGACCAAGATCGTTTAAAGTCTGTCTGAGCTTCATTAGTTTGCCCAGACCATTCTAGAGATTTCCCAACTCTCATTATGACATCCTGTGGCTTTTCCTGTGTCACATTTTGTACCAGATCTGTTGGAAATTAGATGACAATTTGATAAGTAACAAAGAAGTGACCAGATGAAATTTGTTATGGATTCATCCCTGCCCATTTTGTCGTACCCTCATCCGTGGCCATTTCAAAAGACTCTGGAGTTCTCTCAGGCAGTGGGGGCACAGGTGAGGGCGAGCTGTCTTTTTAGAGAAAACGGGATAATTTACAGCTGTCCATAATTTGCTGTCCATCAAATCTATACACAAATTTTCAAGTGTGCATAATGCTCACCTCTGTTGATGCTCTCAGAGTCTGAGCTGGTTGGGATCATCAGTGTCAACATTTCGGTGTTTTCACTGATATCTGGAAACAAGACCATATATTGTGGTATAGGTTTAAAACATATTTTAAGAAATTGTATAAGTTAATAGAAAATGTACTGGACCATTTGTATATGTTGTAGCCTATGTCTTGAAATGTCAGTTTATTCAAGTGAGAATCAGTGTTGTTATTCTTACTATAGCTAATAAATAAAGTTGAAATAATAGAAGATATAAATATTAAATAGAAATAAATAAGTACTAAAATTTCAGGTAACACTTTTCTTGAGGCCTATATAATGCATTACATTATAATACTTCATATAATATAATATTTTATTTAATACTTTCATTAATGCATTAAAATGCATGATAAACAATGGAATCTGCAAATGTTGTAATGCATTTTAATTTGTTTACAATAATTTATGTAAAGATATAATGCATTTCAGTGAATTATGAATACCTTAATGATACATTATACATAAAGGCTTACCAAATTACGGAAACTAAAACTGAAATAAAATAAATTAAAGTTAAATAGAAGTATTAAAAGCAAGATCTAATAAAAATGACAACATCACATAAAATTACTAAAATTAAAATGAAAACTGAACATATAAAAACAAAAGCCAGTTCAAAATTTTAATAAAAATGCCGTAATAGTATATAAAATACAACTAAAAAAAGCATTGGTAAGGATATACATTTAGCCCTTAAGTTGGACTAACCATTAATTTCATCTGCCAGTATATATGACTCAGGGGTTCGCTCTGGCAAAGGAGGAGGGGTGTCTTCATCAGATGAAGGTGTATTTGCACCTTTATTCAAATTATAAAACAGGAAATCATCATAAGAGATCCATCATAGTTTTTCAGAAAATCAGTTGTTAAAATAGTCATAGGTTTTCATACCTTTGTCTTTGCAGTCATGTTTTGGCAGTTCTAACACCTGATTATTAAGAGCTAAACTAGGTATTGTGAAACAAGGGTTCTCCATCCATGGTTCACGAGTCATAGTGTCCATAACACTGTGATTGTCGCTACCCGGTGGAGACTCAGGACCAAAATAAGGATCTTCCACAGTGAAGCAGACTGTGCTGGGGATAATAGGGTTGTGGTCTTTGGCAGCAGGTCTGACATCTTGGTTTTCTGCACGCTCCAGATGCTTCATACTCGGTCTCAGCTCCTGTACTAGGCTGATGGGATAGTTTGAACATGCAGCTTGGGTGAGATCAGTGTTGAAGCTGGTGGATGGCTCAGTTCTTTGAGATCCACGGGTTGTAAAGTCTGTTTGAGGAGTGGGTGCTATTAATAACCTCTGATCTTTAATCTGGGCCCATTCACTCGTTGTATTGAGCATGTCTTCAGGATTGAGTTTTGTGTAGAAGACCTCCTGACTGAATGGTTGTGAATGAGGCTGTGGCCAAGAAGTGACTTTGTCTGTGACATGATTGAGTTCATCCATTGGAATTTCCATCTCATTCCTATCACAACAGTGAAAGATTTTATTATGATCAGGAATACAACAAAGACAGTCACAATGTGTCTTAGAGTGTGTTTACACTTGCAGTTTTGTTCTCTTGGTTCTTTTGGTCTGGACCAAAAACGAAAATTAAACATTTAGTCCTAGTTCGCTTAGCTTTCACGCTGTCTTTCTTTAAACCGAACATAAAGATACAAAATAAAAGGCATAAGGATACGGTCACAACCTGATTGGACAGCATATATGACGTATTTTTTGCGAATTTACACAAACATCCAAAACTGATGTGTGCTGGGCTGAATGCACTCATTATGTGTGTGTACTAGTGCTGTCAATCAATCAATTAAAAAAAAAAAACGAATTAATCACAAATTTTTTCTGAAATTAATTGCGATTAATCCCACCTAACATTAAAGTTTTTAAATATACTTTAATATTGCAATAATTTTACATTCAATCTTCAAATTAATGTAGAAACAACAAAGACAGTATATTTTTTTAATATTAGTTTAGTGGCATGTTTTTTTATGTCTGAATGTGAGTATCACTGATACCAATACTACCGATGTCTCTAGGAAATTTTTCCCCCCATAATATTTAGCCATTCAACATTATTATACAGTATAATTGAGAGCTATCAATTTTAAGATTTAAAAGTGAACTTAAAACAATCTTCACATAAACCCATTATAATAAATGTCGTATTTAGCTACCTGTGCACTTCAGCAAATAGGAAATATACAGAAATTGAATAAAGTTATCAAACACTAAATTCTAAATTAAATATAGATGGATCTTTAAAGCTCTTTTTTCTTTTGTTCTTTGATTAGCAGTCATCACAGCAGCTGGGTTATTAGGTTATTTTGGCTGCTTTATGAGCTGCCACTGCTGAACTCTTTAGCTTTTCTGACCCGCCTCAGGTCTTAAAGTCTCTACTAATGAGCTGACGAGTTGAATTGGGTGTGTTAGATAGGGAGACAGTGTTGGGCTGCTCCAGGACAGTTTTGAAAACCACTGCATTTCAGAGACATGTTATTAAATGTGACTCATATATAACAAATACTTACGTACATGCACAGTTTTAAGGCAGCTTTAATCGCCTTACTTCATGACTTCATGTCTTAACTGACGACATAACTACGACATTGCATGCTCGTAGTTTCATTTGCGCTTTAATATAATATAGTGCTTAATATAATAGAGCACACACCACCGCATTTGTACGTGCAATTGAAGAGTATGTGCTACGAGCACAGTATAATGACTGACAGGACAGGAAGAATCATTTGACATATGGCCTGACAACATCTCATCTGACCGCAGTTCACTGTTGTTCTGCTGAAGCTCCCTCATCACCTGTACCTTTTCCGCCCTCGTTTGACTAGAGCTTGACTGAGGTGAAGTGGTCATAAAGACGCAATTCTTGTCAAGAAAAAAGAGATAGAAGCAGCAGTTGTGAGTGGTGTGGCCAACCCTAGCTCCACTCCTGCATTAATTGCGTTAAATATTTTTAATGCGTTAAACTGAAAAAAATGTATCGCGTGCGTTAACACACTAATTTTGACAGCACTAGTGTATACATATTTTTACCAGCTAATAACTCACAAAGAGTCATGACTTCATGTCTTAACTGACGACATAACTACGACATTGCATGCTCGTAGTTTCATTTGCGCTTTAATATAATATAGTGCTTAATATAATAGAGCACACACCACCGCATTTGTACGTGCAATTGAAGAGTATGTGCTACGAGCACAGTATAATGACTGACAGGACAGGAAGAATCATTTGACATATGGCCTGACAACATCTCATCTGACCGTAGTTCACTGTTGTTCTGCTGAAGCTCCCTCATCACCTGTACCTTTTCCGCCCTCGTTTGACTAGAGCTTGACTGAGGTGAAGTGGTCATAAAGACGCAATTCTTGTCAAGAAAAAAAGAGATAGAAGCAGCAGTTGTGAGTGGTGTGGCCAACCCTAGCTCCACTCCTGCATTAATTGCGTTAAATATTTTTAATGCGTTAAACTGAAAAAAATGTATCGCGTGCGTTAACACACTAATTTTGACAGCACTAGTGTATACATATTTTTACCAGCTAATAACTCACAAAGAGCTTCTAAATTGTGTAAAGGAATCAAAACAGTGCCAGGAATTCCTCTGTTGCATACACAGAGATCTGCTGCAAGGAGATGGCAGTTCCGATTCCTTCAATGAACTGTAATAAACACCATAGATCATATGACAAGAAGAACCAGATATTCTTGAGCGTTCAGTCCTTTTTATGGTCGCATTTGTCACATCACTTCCTGTTTTGATTTGTTAGATGTATTTGGTCCGCGTTCCATTCATATTTAATTGAAACTGCATCAGAGTTTGTTTGGAAGTGCACCGAGGCACACCTTTTCAGGAGGTCTCGGTCCATTTGTTTGGTGCGCACCAAGGTTCGTATGGCAGTGTTCATACTTTTTCAAATGAACCACACTAGCAGAGTAATCGCACGTTTTAATCGAACCAAACCAGCCAATTGTGAAATTACCCTTTGACATGAAACAATTCAAGACTGTTGACGACATTTAAATGTAAAGTGTGAATTCAAGCTCAACTGCTGGTGTTAATGTGAGGGTGTTTTTGACCAGTGTCAGATGGAGGAGTGTTTGGAGAAACCTCTTGGAAACAATTATTGGGCCTGTCCCAGTACCCACAATTATTATCTTGGCCACTTGAGAATACATGTATGCAGCAGGAAATAAATGCAAAAGACTGTCCCAGATCTGAAAAATGCTAAAGCTCAGTGTCCTTGATGCACACTAAATCTCTAATAGCACTTTGGTGTGGTATTTGAGGCTAAGTGTAACACATTATGTTCAGGAACAAGCATAGCCCAAAATGGTGAGATGTCAAGTAAAACTTCCAGTGTAAGTTAAATTACTTAGATGTTACAAAATTTGTTAGTAAAAAAAGTGTTTAACATTGAATTAGTGCAGAGATGGGTATGTGTATTTTGTAAAATGTTTGCAACTACTTTTGCAACTGCTTATCACTTAGAGTCACCACAAAAATTGTGTCTTCTGTTACATAGGAACTGCTGAACAGAATGTTTATTTCAAAGTGCAAAGAACTGAAAATAAAAATGTGTACACTTACACAAAATGTCACTTACATTTTTACAGCACTATGATGTAGTGTGTTCCATCAGGTAATAATAAGTTATACACAGACCTGTCTTGACCACATGGGCCAAATACAGGAAATATGTCTTGTAAGTACACAAGTGTTCAAGTGCAAAGACCACAAATGCTGGTATTGGGACAGGCCCACTATATATATATATATATATACAGTATGTGTGTGACCCTGGACCACAAAGCAGTCATAGGGGTCCATTTTTTTTAATTGAGTTTAATTTTTTAACTGAATAAATAAGCTTTCCATTGATGTATGGTTTGTTAGGATAGGATAATATTTGGTCGAGATACAACTATCTGGAATCTAAGGGTGCAAAAAAAGAAAAAATATTGAGAAAATCGCCTTTAAAGTTGTACAAATGAAGTTCTTAGCAATGCATATTACTAATCAAAAATTAAGTTTTGATATATTTACGGTAGGAAATTTACAAAATATCTTCATGGAACATCGATAAAAATCGATAATTTTGACCCATACAATGTTTTTTTGGCTATTGCTAAAAATATACCCCAGTGACTTAAGACTGGTTTTGTGGTCCAGGGTCACATATATATGTAATCCTTAGTGATGTTATTAGAGCAGAAATGACATCAGCCAAAAATGAAAATGTATTCACCCTCATGAGCATGAATAAACGATGACAGAATGTCCGTTTTTGGGTGAACTATTCCTTTAAAATGTGGATAAATTGTATTAAAAGGAGATATTTCCTCATACCTGTGCTCAGTTTGAAGCAACGCTCTGAAGTCTGTCCCAGTCTCTGATTCGAAGTCGCTGAAATCTGAGAGCTCACTCCCACTACTTAAGGTGACAGGAGAGGTGGAAGCTGGGACCTGATCGATGATAAAATTAAATTGTTAATTTAAGAATGCAAAAAAAAAGGCTGCATGCCATATAAGGTCAGCAAATGTTGTATAATGATCATAACTGGGAAGAAAAATCAATGGGAAATAAAATTGTGTATTTATGTAAATAAAGAGTGAGTAATAATGATGGCTTATCTAACCTCTCTGTTTGGTTCATCCATTGCTGCCAGATATCTCTCAAACAGCAATTTGATGGTCCTGTATACTAGTTCATATTGTTCCTATGAGGAGAAGAAATTATTTAATTAAGAAAATGGAGACTTTTTGTTTTTATTGATGATGGCAATTTAAGAAACTAAGTTGGTTACCTTAGTCTGAACCACAGAGGGCCTCTGTCTACGCATGTCCATTACCAGTTCAAAGATACTGAAATTCTCTGGTATCATCTAAACAAGAGCAAATAAGATCAACAACTTGTCAGAATATAGATTATATTGTGCCAGTATAATGAAAGCTTCAATAAGATGTTTTGAACTCTTACTTGTCTCTTCAGTAGATTCCAGGTATAGTCAATGGCACACAATGCACCTGTTCTTCCACAGCCGGCACTGCAAATCCAAGAGTTTCAATAGAATGAGTGAACAGTGAAAACACAATTCTCTTTTCTTACATTTGAGCAGCTTACACCCTTGAGTGTAGTATGAGTGTAGTATATGAGTTGCAGTTTTCTACATAACACTGCTGTGGAGTGATGGAAAATTTCAAGTCAATGAGCTGCCTATAAGGTGCTCAGAATATTCTGTGTAGAAAAACTTTTTAAAGTTAATCTTTACAGCATTAATAATTTAATAACACTATTGAATGTAGCTAATCTTTAGCTAATTTCAAAACAAATATCCATTTTCATACTATGCATTATAATTTCATGACAGATTCACTTGTAGCTTTTAAAATGATTTATTCTAATATGCATGATCTTTTAACATATATTTTTTAATTATATATTTTCCATTATTTTATTTGTCATTTCTTTAGACCAAGTAGTATTGAAATTAATTAATGTCAGCTATCAGCCACAACATGAAAATAATTGAAAACAGAAACATAATTGTAGAATATATGTATATATATATATATATATATATATGGGTCAGATTGAAAGATTGGTGCAAAGACAACAATGATTATATCTTCATAACTGTCTTAATGGTCAATTTAGCTTGTAAAGAATACTTTAAAGAATACATTTCTGAAATGTGGCAGTAGATTCATTCACTAGCTTGTTTGATATGTAAAGTCTTTCTGAATAGCATTAACTGGCATTGTAACTCAGTGTTAGCAGTAGTGCAGATACTTGTTGGGACATTTGCTTGTTGTTGGTCAACCACCAACACATTTCATGTGTAAAAAATGGAGGTGGGCTTCTTCCCTGGTTACCGATACAAACAACCTGTTTGTATCAGTATCTTGCGTTCATGGCCACTAAAAATTACACCATGGCCACAATATGACCTCAGACTGATCTGATTAGCCCTCAAATGCAGTCATTGTAAAAATCAATCCTAACAGTCCATCACAGCAAATAGAGGCATTTACCTGCAGTGAATACAGATGGGAATTTCGTCATGATCCTGGTAAATCCGCATGTCCTGCAGCAGCTCCAGGATGGCAGGAATGGAGTCGGGTACTCCGTGATCTGGCCAGTTCACATAGTGCAGCTGTTTCAGTGTCCGAGACACCTAAAAATAACCGGTGTAATATAGACTGTTTGTTTATTCTGGTAACCTGGTTTTTATACCACCACATTTTGGTGGTTTTCTTTCATCACTACAAAACATCTGCTGAAATGTCAGCACCTGTCTTTGTTTGTGTTTGTTCCACTACAGTGTCTTTACAGTCTGAACTTTTTGACTATTAAAGCTGAATACTTCTACTCTTACGCAATGACATTTTCAAGGGAAAATCTATGAACGGGTCATAGGTCACCACGACACAATGTTTGACCTAAAGCAATATTTTTAAAGCTTATTAAACTTGACTGAAGTGTGAACACATTCAGCGATCAGTTTATAAAGCAGTTATTTAATGGCAAACAACTAGTCAGGACATTGGAAAAAATTAGATTTTTAAATTGTTTTATTTTAAAAGCAAGGATAAAAAGCAATAAAAATATTTAACTAAATGTACAATCTTTTCGTATAAGCTATAAAGCCTGTAAAATAGGGTAAACTAAAATATTTTTCAGTGCGGTGAAGTTAAGATCAAAGAAATGTTACTTACTTGTTTAAATGTCACCTTCAGTGTCCGTGTCAAATATTCTCCCTTATTCTCATCAGACTCCTGGACAAAATCAAACATGTACATGACTTGAATGCTCATTGTATCAGTAAATTGCAGATAATATTTTGGCTAATATTATTCAATAGTGAAAACCATAGTGCTAAAAGGTGCAGAATGTACAACCCTTAAATATAACATTATTGTTTTTAAGAGATAAATAAACTAAAAATAAAATGTTTTTTAAGTGCTGCAAGTGAATTTAAGCATGCAGCACAAAATTACGAAGTACAATATGAAACATTGATATTCATTTTGAGATTTGCTAAAGATTACATTCAGAAGTGTTACTACATTACTAGTGTTTTAAAGATAAACTAAAAAAAAAGAATAAAAAGGTACCAGTGATTTTCTGCCATTATCCATTACGTTTACAGGCATTTCCTAATTCAAAATACAGGTGAAACACCTCTGAATAATCTATACAAAATATTACTTTATATTAAAACCAACTTTTATTAATGCAGGTGAGTCCTATAAAAAAGGTCATCTAAATAAAGCAAATAACCTTGCACAATTAAATATTCAGTTTAGACTGATACCAATAACCAATATAGTACTAATAATTTGTGAGCCCTGTTAGTACTGATAATGTGTTTTTTTAAACGGTAACATTTTAGTTTGTTATAAATGTCAACATACCAAGAAAATATAGTGACGTTGTGAAAGAACGCAACATCGTACTTAGTGGTTCAATATGTAGTGTTTTAGATACTGCATGAATACTGAGAATCGGGCTTGAACAGATGTGTGTGTGTGAGCGCAAATAAAACACAACATAAGGACAGGAAGTTTGGTGTGAGTGAGGGAAGAGGTGTTTCTTACATAGTATATGGTAAAGGGCTCACACACAAACACATCATCCTTTGACTCCGGCCAGTAACGCTCACATTTTTTCTGAAAGAAAGAGGAAAAGCAGTATTCAGTCTCAACTGCTTGCTTCTATCTACTCTATGAGAATTTCTACGCTGAGTGCATGGCAGCACTGTAACCGTATCAAAAGTTTTGAAAGGGTGGGAGCTCAAGATAAAAAAAAAGAAGTAGAAGAAAATGACATGCTTGATGCATTGCCTCACCATTCTGAGGATGTGGTTAATAAAAAATGTTTTCTTTAAAACACAGTGACTGTCAACATTTCCCCTATAACATACTGTCAGTTACAACTTACCCTTCCCATTTCAAACTCCCGGCAAGCCATCACAATAACCTGCAGAGAGCGAGTGAGATATTATAGAGGCATTTCTGTAGATTTCATTGTGTGAATGTTTCTCCTTGGCCTGAGATCTCACCCAAATCTCACCTAACAGGTTGAACCTGTTTTCTACAGGAAGTGGAATGTGTGTGAAATGTTCATAACCAAGCGCTTACCTGCACATTGTATTCCCAAAGCATCCTCCAGAAGTCAAGCACAGTGTTTGGCAGTGGGCCTTGTGTGGCAATATACGCCCTAGAGCCCAACACTCCCTGAAATAAAACAGAACTGAATCCTTCTAAATCGCACTGATATTTTGTCAGTTATTGTTTAAGCATTACATGTTCTGTTTAATCTGATGAGTGTATAGTTGTATAGTCTTCAAATCTGGTAAAGAATTAGATTTTGTGTATAAATGTGTATAGCTTGAGATCTTTCTTGCACTTCCTTACCTTAATGAAACTAGCATTGATGTAATCTGTGTCATGTTTGGATGTGATGAGGGAGAGCTTCACTCTGCTGTGATCAACTGTGAGAAAATACAGCCATCAGCATCTCTACCACATCTTGTTTCTGTAATCTTCACAATCAACACTTTCCATGTTTTTTTATGTAACTGCCCATTTCACAAATCTTGTGTTAATCTCCCACATCCATGTTTGTCTTTAGCATTGTCTACTATGATGAAATACAATATTTTACGGTATAATATACCCAGACAGCACACATACATCACACAGACGTCTATTTAATGTATGCGTTTTAATTTCAAAGATGTGTTTAGAGTGTTTGTTCTTCTGCGATATACATCTACAATGTTTCCTGTCATATGTTGACTAGATATTTAGAGAACGTCTTTATGATGCTTATTCTTTAGACCACTGTATGAAATACTGTAAAAATGCTAATATAAAACATTTACATTTATACATTTAGCAGACGCTTTTATCACTTTTATAAGCGACTTACAAATGAGAAATGCAGCAAGCAATTAATCAATACCAAGTCAATACCATGAGAAGCGCTAACAATACAAAGTTTTAACCATCGTTCAGAATAGTACAAGTTAGAACAAGAAGAAATTAAGAAATAGTGGAAGGATAGAAGACGTTTTTTCAATTGTATGTTTAAAAAACCTGTTAAATGTAAATGGTTCAACTGTAAAATGTATGGTTTTGGCAAGTAACCACTATGAATTATGTAATTTGCAATGAAAAAACGTACAAGGACATTCCCAGTCTCTGCATGACACATCACATGAATATATTTTACATTAAAAAAAAATCATATTTTTGTTATCAGTGCATTAAGGTGTTTGTGTTACATTTCCTGTTATTTAGTTGATGTTTATTGCATTATTTTAGTGTTGTGTGTTACACTGATGGTGTTTTGTCTCTGTGTGTATGACCCTGTGCACCGTTTACGTACAAGCATTGGCCTTGTATTATAGACAACAAGCCACTTGCGATTCATCATGTGGTTTTCTATTTTGACACCATACGCTAGTAGTTATCAGTATAAGGAGATTTTGGTACTTCATGCAGACTGGTATTTTAACATTATATAACTTAATGAAATGTACGGTTATGTTGTAAAATATACAGTCAGGCACTAAAATGCCATCCCATAATACCTGAAACATTTTCTATGTTTTTTATGCTGAATTTCTGGCAACCATAACTGCTATTTTTTTCCTTAAATGTAACAGGATATTTTTATAGTGTATGTAAATCTGCTTTTTTTATGTTTATCAGATATTAGTACACATATATTCGCTTTCCAGATGCACTGTATGTGTGCTTAGTGGGTATAATATATTGTAGAAAATAGTACGGTACAGTATATTATGGTATAGTATACTGTACTGTACTATAGTATTGTCAGATGTCAAATGGGATACTCACAGGGAACAATGTCTTTGTATCTGTTCTTCTTCACATTGTCTTGTTTGTCCGCGACTGTGATAGGATATGTCTTCTCCACACGATATTTAGTAGACTGTCTCTTCAGTTTCTGTTTTGAACAATTTACAAAAGATTCAGTTATGATTTTGTATAAGTTTGTGCTATAAAACTTTTGTATTCTCTCATCATTTTATTTTCTGCTTATATTGCAGATAGTCCAAGCCCTATGTTCAGGGCTGAGCTGTTAATACTTATATTATTTTAAAAGACAAAGCAGAGTAAGAAAACCTTCTGTGTTTGAAACGATCTTATTTGCCATGTATTTGACGTCTCAACTGTGATACTGTGATCTGATACTAACAGACTAAAGCCCTGTGGAAAAGCACTAAAGCACTTTACAGCCCTGTGGTTACGATTTGTGAAAGCTAGATAAGTCTGGCTGTGTATGCGTGAGTGTGTGTGACTGCCACAATATGCATGTGGGATGTACCATCGCTCAACTGTGTGTCTCTCTGCGCACAAGCACCTTGATCAGACCAAGAGACTTTCCGACCACAGCTGAGCTTACGAGAACCCTTATGAGCCCAACAGACAGTGAGCAATATAGCAAGCTGAGTAATTAGCATGGGATCTCTGGGTCGAAACAGTCAGGACTGCGTATGAGGAACCAGCCCCTCCCACTGTGGGAAACCCTCATGTTTTGTCCAAGAGTTTTGTACAGTAAGACTGGGCTCTGACATTTTTCTACGTTGATTTCCCTTGTGTGGGCATAAATTGCAGTCCAGCAGTGAGGATCAGTGTGATGGGAACTTAGATTTCCATGCCCTGCCAAATAGACAATTTCTCTTCCTGTAAACACTCTATTAGTGAGCGAGTCGAATCACTATTATGGCAGAAGTCTTGTTTGGCAGAAGTTTGACAGAGATAATAGAGCAGCATGTCTGAAAGTGCTTTTTTTAATCAGAGTAGGAAGAGACCACTTCATGTGATTGAGAAAGCAGACGGGACATGCAGGGCCTTCCTTATGGCCTGGTTTCACAATGGGAAAATCTGTATAAAGACACAAACTGAACACTTTGCAGCTGCTGACGACTATAAAAGACACTCTGTAGCGTTCAGCCTGGACTAAAGAGCATGTTTTGTTCAGCAGGACAGGATAAAGCTGTAGTGGCAAAGACAGGCCTAAAATCAGTTTGGTACTTCAGGGTTTAGCAAATGTGTACAGATGTGTCACGCTTTACTGAGTTATAGATAGAAGAGTAACATGTAACTTGGTGATACATTTTAAGCCTTAAAAATTAAGTGATGGTATTTTTTAGTTGTCATACATGGCAATCGTGTGTCGTATGACAATCCAGTGTTGTAACCTTCTTTTACAGCAATGGTTTTAAAACATTTAGATGCTAATGACCCCAAAATATACTTCCTAAAATATATATGCTCGATATATTCATTTGCACCCATGCATAAATGTAATATATGTAATAAATTAACATATACAAAATGTTTGTCATATGAAATAAAGACATACATGAAATCTATTAGAAATTGGAATGGTTTCATATATTAATAAATATATCTAGCCCATACAGATATGTATGTTTATGTACAGTGCTTAACAAATTCATTAGACCACCACCACCCAATGTAAGGTTTGTGCTACAGCTACCCTAAACTAACAGTATTGGTGATTACCATAATCATTATTATTTATTTATTTTTTGTTTATGTAATGGTTAATCCACCAGTATGTGTAATCTCTTTAGTCACAGTAGTATTTGTAATGCTAAAATATATTATTGTTGTTATCCATGAATTTTCGAATTTACTGTTTTACAAGAAAGTCAAAAAATAGTAAAGCACTTTGTTTTTGTTTTGTTTTTTAAATAATATATATATATATAGAGAGCGAGAGAGCGAGAGAGAGAGAGAGTACACTGTAAGCTGATTTGGATGAAAGTGTCTGGCAAGTAAATAAATATAAATGATAATAATAATAATAATAATAATAATAATAAAACATCTTAAGAGAACAAGCATTTTTGAATTTTTTCATTTTTGTATTGCTAAGTTTGAGTCAACAGCTCAGCATGGGTCATGAGTAACTTCCTCTCAGTCACCATGACTGTTCACATGGATATCTAACAGTTGACATTTGAGGGGAATAGCATATGAAGGTTATTTTGGAAACAAATCTAAGCAGAAGTGGGGTCCAAAAGTCCCTTTTTGTAGACAGTCATCCATAGATTCAATAATAAATGAGTTTGGTAATAAATAACCACACCAGGTTGAAAACGTCTTGTACAAAAACCTAAAGTGAGAGGCACTGTATTAAGAAGAGGAAGTCCACGCTTAGCCATTTAAGCCTTTGCATCAACTCGCTGCCCAGACATGTTTTATTTTTAGCTTACTTTTGGCACATGCAATGCTAATATTTTTATTATCTCAGTCCATTAATTTACAAATCTTCACATTGCCGCACAAACATTGCATGTAATGTAAAAAAGCCAGATTGTTTTAAGCCTAGCATACAGCTACTCCATACAGGTGTACGTTGGCATCTTTTGAAAACTATATGTTGTCACATAACATGAATCTGAACATCTGAGAACGTATTTTCTTTGTCTCGAACGAAACCCTGCCATTTTGTTAATAACTTACCAAAAACTCTCCAGCAAAGCCGTTCTCTGCCCCTTCCTCTTCTGCTTCCTTGCTTGCGATTTTGACCAATAGGTCCCTCAGAATGTGGGCTTGGGCGTCCATGGCATGATGTGTGACACAGCAGCTTCCTCTGTCATGTCAGAGATTGAGGAGATCGTTGGGCTTCTGAAAGGAGTCCATATTTCACTTTCTCTCTGTGTGTCTCTTGTAGGTCTGTAGTTGAGTAGAGGAACTGTGCGAAGTGTCGTCACGGAAGCAGTGGCAGCAGCAGTTCACAGGTTCTGTGGTCAACTCTAAGTATCACTGTGACCCTCTCCGCCCTTCATCTCTCTCTTCAGTTTCTCTCGCTTTTTTCATTGTTGCATACCTAGTACTGTTTATTGTCTGTTCTTCGGCCTTCTCTCTTTTTCTCTGTCTGCCTGTTTCTTTCTGTCCAACACTTTGTAGCACAAGGTCTTAGAGTCCATACACCCACACAGGAAGCTTTTGTGGGTGGGTGTGCGCTTGTATGTAAAAAGATATTGAGAAAGTCAGTCATTTGCTTCATTGTTGAAAGCAGCAAAGCCAGTTTGATGACATTCAAAACAGTTGTGGATGAACTAGAATTTAGAGAATGTGTACATGTCAGAGAGAGATACTTGTGTAGCTCTTGGAAATAAATGTATTCAGGTAGTTGATCTGACATATCAGGCAATGACAGAAGCGTCCTCTTGCAGTGTTACATGCTTAAATGACATTTTCGAAATGTAATATTTTCTAATTCTCGTATAATTCTTACTTTTAAACAGGAATTTGCCAAACCACATGACTACACGTGAACTGTAAGAGATGTATCTACAAACCCAATTCCAAAAAAGTTGGGACATTGTACAAATTGTGAGTAAAATTTAAAATGTATTATTTTAGATATATTTTATGTGTGTGTGTTTAATTTGTCATACCACATGACTTTAAGTGAACCGAAAGAGATACATCTATGTAAAAATGACAAGAAAATACTATTTTAGTCTTTCTACTTCAACATTTCACACACGCACACACACACATACACAGAATTATTCCAATCCTTATGGGACATTCCATAGGGGTAATGATTTTCTATCCTCTTACCCTAACCCTACCCCTCACAGAAAACTTTATACATTTTTGGATTTTCAGAATACTTCATTCTGTATGATTTATAAGGTTGTATCCTCATGGGGACCTAAAAAGTGTCCCCAACATGGTCAAAATTTACTGGTATTACTATACTTGTGGCGACCACACCAACCCTACACCTAAACCTACCCCTCACAGGAAACTCTCAGCATTTTTAGATTTAAAAAAAACACCATCTAGTGTTTTTAAGCCATTTGAGTTACAGGGACACAGAAAGTGTCCTCATAAACCACCTTCACATTATAATATCTATGTCATACCCATGTCATTATACAAATTTGTGTCCTCATAAACCACATAAACACACACACATTTATATATATATATATATATAAAACTAATAATTTAGTAATCAAAAGCTTTTACATTGGAAAAGGTACTTGGAAGGTAAGTCTTTCATCTAGTGGCCGTTTAATTAAATTGCATTCTTTGACCTTTTCCTATTTTGTTTCAGTGAAAAATGGTCTATTAAAAGTACAATTTCCTTTATATAACTTTGTAATATTACTGAAAATGGTTAGATTCTCTGTATTATAATTCTTATTATTTTAAAGTTTTTGCATGAAGAGTGCTGTTTCCTTTTTTTAGATTTAGTGAAGATGTACATATGTGTTTATGTCTACATATGTCAGCATACTGAGAGCATACCGTACAATGCCATTTGAAAACCACAGTTTGTCCATCGCTGCCTTACATCCTGTTTCATTTTTAACAGCATGCAACAAGGTGCTTCAACACATAACATAGCTCTCACACTCTCATCAACAGTATGAAGGGAATGTACTTACTGCTTTTAGCACAGAGTAAGTCTCTTTTTACTGATCTATTCACAGGAGTTTTTGTGTTTATCTGCCTTGTATTTGTTTAGTAAATTAAACCTAAATTTCTGTGAGAGTATAGTTTTATATGTAAAGAGACTGGTGTTGGCATATTGTAACATGCCATGATTTACCACTTAGAAGTTAGGACATGCATGACCACCACACAATTTATGAGTACTTTAAAAAATGTCTCTTCTGGTTTATAATCTGATTTGCTATCATGTTAATGCATTTTTAATGACTTGAATTGGCATCACCTGAATCACATCCTCTTGTAAATCAGATTTTCTTGTTTAATTTAATGTAGCATTTACTCAAAATTTTACAAATCTTTAAATATCATATCTGAGCAGATGGTATTGCAGCAGGAGTTGTAACCACTGGTACAAATGTTAAAGCAAAAAGTGTTACAAACATCCAAGTCCATATAGTGGAAATGGTCTTAAAGTTACAGTGAAAGTAATGACAGATAATTTCTTCTGCATTTTGACACATCCGAGTGAAACAGATTATCGAAAATGAAAAAGTGTAGGGTGGGAACTTGGGTCTATGCATCAGTTATTGACTGAATTTTGAGATGTGGGCGTTTAAAAGTGGAGGCAGATGAACACAAGCTTCCAGGGGCGGGTTTAAATGGACTAAATTATTGGAGCTAAACGATTGGAGAAATCCTGTATATGTCAGGATTATGTAGGTTAGGGTGATTCCAAGGGTCTGACAAAGGGAGAGGGGTCCCGAATAATAAATGTGCTTGAATAAAACAATATATTTTAATAATCAACTTTATTTACACAATGTTTAAAAAATTTAACTTTTTTCTTTAGTAAGTCTGCAGTTTCAGTGTGATAAATCAAAGATTCAAGCCCCAATTGGAAGCACATTGACTATTATATGCACCTACAAAACATCCAAGTTCAAATTTAACAAGAAGTACTGGTGTGCTGGAGACTCCAGATCCTCGTGTGAAGTTCTGATGGACACAGATGGATTCACACAGGCCGCATACAGAACACGGGCTCAAATCATTGATAGAGTGTCTAGAGGTTTGGTTGTTTATATAGGAGATCTAAAGTTGGATGACAGTGGAATGTACTGGGTCGGGATTGACAAAATGTATACTGATATAATGACAAGCATACAAGTAACAAAAGGTAAGACTTTATTTTCATCATGTGAAGCGTGATTAAGCCAATCTGAAAGATAATTTGCCCAGTGTACCTGTAATTGTTCACATTTGAAAATTGACTTTCACAGTAAGAAATATCAATTTCATTTCAGAGGCTGTAATAAAACCAAACGTTTGGCCTCTCAGTTCCCCAGAGATTACATGCTGGGGACAACCATCTGCGTTTCGCTGTAGGAGTGAGAGAGGAATGGATGTGCGGTACACTTGGTACAGAGTTGGACACCCAAATAACATTGTCCTGCACCATTCCACTGATCTTTTTCTCCATTGTTCAAACATCACTGAAGACAGTCAGCTTTTCTGCTCGGCCTTTAATGAGGTCAGCAGCCAGAACAGTGAATTTGTTTCTCTGCAACTACTTCAGCCTGCAGACAAGGACTGTGTTTATCTCATCTCATCAAACGGTGAGTTTAACTTGTACATTGTTTAAGTATTTTATTACATTGCATTTTGGAATTCGTGATTCTGATTGGTCAGTTGCACCAAACAGTGGTCAGTTAAGGTGCATTCACACCAAGGACAATAACTATAAGGTATGATGAACTGAGCTATTTGAACTTAAGATTTTTAGTAATTAGTATTTAGCAATTAGCATGCACATGTCCATTAAGTCCACGAGACTGTAGGGTGTCCAATTCATAATTTTAGTTTTCAGAAGGGTGCTCGCAAGTGCCCCTTTTGTGGCTGCTATATGCCCTCGGATTTCAGACAGGGCCTTCATGTCTTTTGTATTACACTTCAGCCTCGCACAGTTGTTTCAAACTAATGCAACCAGCGCCATCTTGTAATTTAGTTCAGGACTGCAGTGAGAATGTCCTCAGAGGACTTCAGTATTAATAGTACTGTGATATTGTAATGATTGTTGTGTTGCTAGGCCAGTTGTTTTGTTATGGTGTAATTTTTAAACTTCTGAGTACATTAGATTTACTTGACATGTGTGGACATGATGTAGCACTTAATTTATATAGTAATATATATATAGTGATGTTTACATGGTTCTATGATGTCTGACAGATAAGATGTCTGAAGATAAACCTCTCTTTCTTGACCAGCTTTCTCTAGCTATGACTGTATAAGAAGCACAACATCACTCTCAACATCCATCCAAACGACAGAGAAATTCCTGAGCTCTGCAACAGTTTCTCATATCACATTGAGTCAGAATAAGACAATGTAAGTTGATCAGACATGAACAGAAAGCTATTGTTCAACATGGTAAAATAAATCAATTCAAAACAAGACAGCAACAAACCCCTTCTTGAGAACATACATAGGAAAAATAAATGATTTATTGTTAATTATTTACAGAATTCTAAAGATTAGTTCACCCAAAATCATTTCATTCCAAATCTGTATGACTGACTTTCTTCTGTAGAACATAAGTATTGATAGGAGACATTTTGAATAATAATCTTTTCAATGAAATTGTAAATAGGAATTCACAGTTGTTTAACACAATTGTTGGCAGGCTAAAAACTCATATGTTTTTTGTTTTGTAGGTCCCGGTCTGGTTTACCACTGTGGTATGAGTGTCTTCGTTGGATTCTCTCCTCAGTTATGATTACCATCTTATGTGTAGTGCACGCATGCTCAAAATATACATCAAGAAGACTCAAAGACCCAAAGACATCTGATTAAGAATCATGGTTGCAGCTTTATTACAAGTGTTTCTTTTTTATGTTGTGCATGTACATACTTTGCATTCTTTTTAATTCACGCTGTCTTAAAAATTATATTCCTTGTTCTTACTATCCACAAGGTGTACAATGCCCCAAACTGCTTAATTCATTCAAACTTCATTTTGTAGATATTTTAGCTTTGGGTGTGTCTGTTTTTTTCTGAAAATATATTGAAAAAAAATTCATATGGACAGACAATCCTCACATTGCAAGCAGATATCAACATTAATGCAATTAATATTTTCATGCAAAATATCACACACAATGAGCTGTTGTTGAAGTTGTTTTGTGACCTTGATGCATGGAAAGTGATCAAGGAACTGTAAAGATAAATTTTTCTTACTTTGAACGTTTTATATATACACTGTAAAAAATAAACAAGGCAACCAAATACACTCAATTTTTTAAATTAACTATATTTCAGTTTTGGTTTTTCATTTAATGCAGGGATTGCCAAACTTTGTTAGCTGAACCCCTTTGAGCTAAAATATTCACTTGAAGTACCCCTGAGATTTTAACTTATATTTCAATTATTCCACACATTCACATGTTTACAGTTCTCTGGTGTCGCATGAAACACAGGGAAATCAAATGTTTTATTTCG